GAGTGTACTTCGGTACCATAACAGAATCAGTTCCAGGTGGGATTGTATGGCAGGCATATGACACATGAAATTTGTCACACTGCTGCAGGATGTAACACACTACAACTACATTGCTGTTTTATTTTGCATGTACACTTTATTATCACCTTGTCCACCTCATTTTGTGAAACTTATGTTTTGATCAGTTTGCTACTTTTAGTCATTACTCATTGAAAGCAAAACATTCTTAGAGGGCTCAGTCAGCCCTGTGACTGTCTGACTTGATTGCAGTGTTTGTCAGTGTCAGTCTGCATCTGGCAGTGGTGATAGCAGCTACTCTGAATATCTGCACAAAGTCTCTTGACTTTTAGCCATATTTAATTTGCAGAACTACAACTTGGGGAAGATCAAACTGTTAAAAAATAGATTTTTTTTCCATATTCAGGGAAATCTGACTGACCTGCATGGCGCAATTTGAATGTATTTTTCATCATGCTTTAAAGACAAAACGTGCATGTAGTGTACATTGGTGCTGCCATGCCATGTTCATACTGCAGGATTAACTTAACATGACACAAATAAAAGACTAGGGCTGAAATTTCAGCTCCTTTGGGAAGCCATCAGATATTACCATCTGGCTGGTTGATCCATGGATGAGTGTGTAGAGAGATGCACCCACCATTGCAGGGGCTATGATCACCAAAGGAACTTATTACTGTTGAATGAAGAAATAAGAAGCAAAAGTAGTCATCCTAAAAACACCCAAAGCAGGAAGTTTGATATATGACATTTCCTATTTGCTACTGCTACTAACATTAGATACGTCTAGATGGTAACACCTTCAGCCACTTTCTTATGACTGAAGCTTTCAGCCAGGAGAAGACGTCACCAGGTGGCATCCAACTTGTTTCAACCCTGAACCACAATGTCCTCCAGTCAGCGGGTCAGCAGTGATGGACAGTCACTCCCCATCTTCTCCTGGCTACCAGCTCAACTCCTCCCACCTGTTCTAGAGTCAACAAGAGGTGCTTTCCGCTGACTCCCCCAACCTGCTAACAGCTGTCCTCCTCTCCCTTTCTGCTATTCCCAGAGCCGTGAGCATCTTCCGCACAGATTGCGCTCGGAAATCCCTGCTACCAACCTGAACTGGAAATAGCCATTGCATTGTTGGACCAGGTCCTGGTACAGGACCCATGGGACTGTCAGTTCAATCAGGATGACCTCTTCAGTATTTTATATTTTATCAAGTCATTTAATTTTGATTAAAAACTCTGCTCAGCCTTTTTGGCCAGATCACAACAGCAGGTCCAACCCATATGCATTGAATGTAGCCGACTGATTGACTGACTGAGTGAGTGATCAAGTTATACCATTGGTCAGCTGAATGAGGTGTGACTGAGTGATAAGGATGGTTATTGGTTGGCTGGCCGAGTTTTGGAAAATCCCCGTAGGTTGTTGCTCTTTCAAAATGATTTAGTGCAAACAAGCAGTGTAAGCAACTTAGCGCCTTTGTCACTGGATTTACCAACTTTTCAGACATTTGAAAAAAAAAAAAAAGACCATAACAACTAAAATAGTGACTTTTTCGACAAACCTTTTTTTCATAGACAGTCACCAGTATTGCACCAACAGGGGCAAGGTTGGACTTTCCCTCAGAAGACACCTCTCTTAGCTGCCTACACAGCAGCTGACATGATTGAGTTTCTAACTTTATCTGTGAGCAATCATTTTACAAGTAAATATAGCCAGAATGACTGGATTTTGGCAGCAGCAGCGTGAAAATGTCTTGGAAGTGACCTTTGGGTAACATGTAGTGTTAATCGGCCATATTTCAGTCACTATTTTATACTTGTTCCATTGTCTGACAACAGAAACAGAAAAACATGTAAATGAGAACAGCTTTATTGGTCATTTTGCTGCATTAAGATACTGTATATTTGAGCACAGAGAGGAAGAGAGAAGCAAACACCAATTCTTGTTAACTTGACCAAGAAATAAGAATCATGACAGGCACCACACGCACTTAGCTTCATGACATAAATATTAATAAGCAAAAACATAATTAAAGTCACATACACAAAAGTCATCATATGAGTAGTCAAAGGGCAACAACACATCAGCAGAAATAGGAAACAGGCTGAAATCGATAAACAAAAAAGTCTCAGTCTCTCATTGAATCTGCCTTGACATCCTTCATAATCATTTTAAACTCACACAGAGAGACTGGCTTCTTCAGTTTCACATAATTTCTCCATGGTACTCTGGGAGCAGAGTACATGAAAGCCCTTTGGTCTAATTCTGTTTGCCTCAACAAGATGAACAGAAAAAACACACAGTTATTTTCAACCAGGTTTTCCAGGCACATGTTATAACTCCAAAAGTAAAGAGGCAGACCTAGCCTTGCACAGAAGTCTGCAAGTTTACAGGGAACGATAATGGTTGAGATGTTCAGTAATAAACCTCAGTGCACAATGAGACTGGGAGGAAGTATATGTTTTACAAATATTTTTTTAATGAAGAGCAAACATGAAGGTATCTCAGACCCCTACACCCCACCCCACCGCCACCCCAAAGAAAACATGTTGCTGAAGTAAGAATCTAAAATCATCTTTTTTATTTATTTATTTATTGTATTTGATAATAGTTTATAAAATGGCAGGTGCAGTTCATAACATTAATCTGTGCCTGCTAGCTCTACAAGGCCAGTGTCATTAGTTACATTTATGCTTCTCCTGCCATGACAAATTAAAATGTGTGCTATGATACACAAGGATTATCATGCTTTACAGTCTGACACCTTATATAGAGGATGTATTATACTCTTAAATTCATCATACTAACCTAATATAAAATTACATTTCTATACAGGTGGATTATCAAAACTAGTGCAACTATCAGAATTGCAAATTAAAATGATTAAAAGCAAGGAAGTGCAGGACTATGTTGCTATATGTTTAGATTGTTAAAAATTTGATGTATTAGAGCATGTTTTTGTTTTTTTTTAAATTCTGTTACAAGTAACATGATTAAGCTTTCAAAGAATAAATAAATAAATAAAAGTTAAAAAAAACTGCACACCGTGGAACTGGAATAGCATAAGGTTAAACCCTGCTTTATCCTGCCAACTGCTAAAATGGCAAAGTAATTTCTGATTGATAGTGTTGCTCCATGAGACAAACTTTTTAAACCCATTTCATCCAAGGGTATACTTCAAGAACTGAGTGATCATTCTTTATCTACTTTGGTATTCTTGCTTAGCATTTATCAGGGTTACAAACATATAAAATCTGCTTATACATATTGTGTGTCTATTGTTAAATGCATGAAGATAAGATATGTTGTTTAGTTTTATGTAACTCTGCAGTTGTGAGATGTTTTTAAAAAATGTACATCTTGAAGAATCACTGGATTCATCAATTATATATGTATTCAGATGTAAATTCTAATTAATTATAGTGTTGTGAGGGTTTCTTGACATATTATCTCATGTTTCCTTCAGTAAATTTAATTTGCTTGTGGAAAATGGAGATTGCCTGATTTCCGTTATTTTGAAAAACCTGGTTTTAAAGTTTTTTTGGGTTTTGATACTGTACCTATGGTTACCTTTAAATTATCCCCTTTTTTTCCAGGATCAAAGATACACTTTCATCATTTTAACACAACAGACTGCCACACACTGACTTCTAATACAAATCTGGAGAGCAGAGTCTCAAGGCAACACCGTAGTTAAAATAACTACACCTGATTCACATTAGAATCTCTTGAATTACATTTACAAGTGTTATATAACACAATTCATACTCATGCTAGCATAATTAGACATACTTCTATATTTAGACATAATTACTGTATTAATCAAGTATGCAGTGAGTGCTGCAATCAAGTCGGATTAGACCTTTATAAATGCAGTAATGATGCAGTATTGATACACACTGTGTGATTGTGTCAAACAGTCATGGTATTAGGTTTTTCTGCACTACACAGATGCAGGTATATAACCATGTTTAGTCCGCTGTGGAACTGTTTGATACTGGTTGACCAGCATGTCACAGGCATGGTTTGAGTAACATTTATATTCTAGGCTGCATTGCTGTCATCACAGAGTTATAACAGGGCTCCAGAGGGAGAAAACTGCTTGATGTAAGCAATGCATGTCACTGGAACTGGAGGCCTGCAGAGCAAACCATATCTGCTGTGACAAAGAAAGGACTCTACAAAATTGCAGTTGTTCTATCATGTGAATAAGGTAAGAGAGCTCTGGGCTGACATGGTTGGAGCGCCTGTCACTGGGTTCCGACATATGAGCGGGCCTACAGTCCTTAACATGGCTATGATTTACAGCCAGTGAAAAATAGTAAGTGAATATTTTATTGAAAGCGTGCCATATGCCTCGGTCTCAGTACTGACAAGGTGCCAAGCTCAATTTATACCATATTATACGTTCTATGGAAGTTCAAATGGCCTAACATGCATGACAAGAGCAGTAAGGGTTACGGATGTTTTTATTTTGCTGTGCAAACCTATGCTGCAATTATTATTTAGGAGCTTACAATATGTCATGAGTCGATTTATGGCTAAACTATTTCCTTAAAAGCTATCATCATATATGGTTTGCACTACAATACAGCTGAATGACTGTGATATTGCCTCTTGACAGTTTCCTTTCCCTCTATATTACTAAGGGAAACTGGAAATGTGGTCTGTTGAATAGGCTCTACTTTGTTGCTGACCTCACTTCCATACCACAGCACACACAAGACTGGAGGCTGGTGGTTTCCTATCTCAGCTCCCAGCTGCTGCCCACCTATAGTATAAGGCCACAGTAGTAAAAAGCCTCCCACATCGTGTCAACTATAAATTCTTGTCTGTGTGAGTGATGCTTTCGGTAGCTATGGAAACCCAATATAATAGACACCCCCTCCCTCTCCCTCTCTCTCTCCCAGTCTTTGCCTACGTCTCTCTCCCTCTCTCCGTCGACACCAAAGCTCTTTAGGCTACTTTGCGCATGTACGGCCAGTCAAACCGAGCATTGCATCGACTCCAAGATGGCGAAAGCACGTCTGGCTTGCCTCCTGACTCTCCTCTCAACTCACTGTAAGTACAAAAATCATTCTAACTGGTTGCTGTTTTACTCGCTTTCTCCTCGAGGACCGTGGTCATCAAACATCATTTACTTCTGCATCTCTTTGGTCGAAATTTTACTCCAACGTTGGGTAAAACATTTAGATAGTGCCTCAGAAGTAGCCCTATGTGGACGCAACTAACGTTAAACTCAAGACAGACTGACAGCAAGCACAGTCCTCCCGACGTAAAATAAATACGGTTAATAATTCTCTTTACAAAGTAAATAATACAGTCGCCATTTTTAATACAACTTACTGTCAACATGACTGGCAAATGTGCGGCCAAGCGATGGTTTTAAGCAGCTATTGTTAACCAAATTCATCGCTCCCTCGCTGATTTACCGGAATATTGCTGCTATATGTAAAATAAACTGTCGCATATTAGCATAGCAAGACTAATTTTTGGCTCTTGCATCAGTTCAGTCAGCGGCAAATTTCAGAGTCTGGTGGGTAAGCCACCGCGTTTTTTTCTGACCTCACTCTGGAAAAAAAGTTTCACCCTCGCAAGTTGAGAGAGAGAGAGACTTCGTGTGTGTGAATTAAATATGAATTAAGGCAGTTTTCAAGCCCGTACCGTTAACTATTTAACGTGGGCTTGGAGCCGCGGTCGTGGCAGAGATGTTGGAAGTAGTGATGCGAGATAACGGTTTTTTTTCTGCGGCGGAATAAAGCTGGCTGCCCGCGGGAGGAGCCAGCCAGGCCAGCGAGTGTCCTCTGCCCCCTCCTCCTCCTCCTCCTCCTCCTCCCGTTGCTGCTGGACCCTTTCAAACCGCTCCATAGCTGAGCTGGTAAACAGAAACAGCCGTCGGAAAATCAATTTGTTTCACTAGCCTCCCGAAAGACCCGATATCCTCAGTTTTTCAGTGCTATGGTTGGAAAAGATGAACGCACACCTGTAAGAGCCGAGCAGTCAACTTAGATATTCATCCACCACCCGGAAATCCCTTAGTATACCATTTATGTCAAGTCATTTTCGTGTTTAGACTACATTTGGTGGAAGAGCAAAGTTAAATCATTACTGTTATATGTGATTAAGAATTAAATATATATTAAATATATTCTTCAGGGGTTTTTAGATGGTAATTACATGTACGTGGTGCCAGTTGTAGACTAGAAAAAAGCCACTGGTTGCTATGCCATGCAGTGTTTTTTATTTTTGTTTTTGTTTTTTTTGATAAATCTCGATTTTTTTTCACACAACTTTGGCTCTCAGCTGCTCCCAAAATATTACCACGTTTATTTAAAAATTCAGGACCATGTGAAGCTATAATTTACATTCTGTTAATTTTGATAGATTTGTTTGAGGCTTAAAAAGAAAGTGAGGTTTTTCATTAAATGAAGCAATAGCAGGGATTTAGCCTTCAATCCATTTCTAATACAGACAGTATCTTGTGCCTGGCCCTTGTGTAAGTTGCAATGGTCTGCTTTAATTCATTAAATCATTTTTAAAACTTGGTTTAGAAATTCAAGATAGTTTGATTTGTTTTAAGTGTAATAAATGTCTTTAAGAAACATTTTTAGTTTTTTTAAGTAGTTTTTTCTGTCCATGCATGACTAAGTGAGCTTTGGTTATAATGTCACCACAACAGCTTGGCATGAAATGTGGCGTGTGTTTTTCTCTCGTTTCCCCTTGGATGTATATTAAGAAAGGTGTGAGAGCATAGACGTACAGATCAAAGGGAGGTACACACATAAGAACCTCCTGTGATCTCTCAGGTGTGTGAATTGGTTTTTTTCTCTTTGCTTTAATTAGGAATAGCAGTGGAGCTTGTTTGAAATCTGTTGCTTTGCTCTCAACACCGTCTCTTGACATACCTCAAGGCTGTGTGCAGATTTTTTTTTTTCCCAAGCGATACATTTCAAAGTCAGTACTCTTAATGATGTTCCCCTGAGTAGATTTGTGACAGGGAATGGTAGCAGCACAATTGACATTTTCAGGGGGGGGGCAGTGAACTGGCGAAGATTTAAGAATTTCTTTTGTCTTGCCTGGACAGGGCTTAGCCATGTGGCCGACTGGCTCCCAGCCAGCACTGCCGCTGTCTTTAGAAACAGGACAAATCTGTCCTGACTGAAGCTCGCCACAAGCCGTGTTATGAATTACTAATTTGTGCTGATAGGCACTGATTACTAATAGGTACTGACTGTAATTTGAATATTTCTTGTATTTTGGAATAGCTCTGCTCCAATTCTCTTTCAGGTTTTGATGTTTCATAAAGCGAGTAAGAAATTCAATGAGGAATGAGTGTATCATTTGGCTTTGCTTTTTGTTCTGTAGGTCACACTCTGTTATTTCTGTGTCTGTGAGAGGTGCTTGTTATTTCCAATTCATGGCATTCTTCGGGTAGCTATCATCTTAATGGCCACGCGGCTCCAGCCATTCCAAGTGAAGGCTAAACCCAGCACAACTGAACTTAGCTGCAAATATAAGCCCAGTCATCTGTCAGTGCAGTGAAAGACGAGGGCCATTGTTATTTTAGGTACACATGTTTACAGCAGCCCTTCCAATCTGATCTAATGGAATGCATTGACATTTTCCATTGTTGGCTTCACCTGAGCCATTTCACATAAAATATTCCAAAGAAAGTGGTACGGATTTTAAGAGGACATCTGCCAGAACCCTCCTGCCAAAAGCACGGCGAAGATATGTGGGAGCTTGGAAGATGCTCAAAGTGGATTAGTACTGAGCAAATATAAACTTTGAGATCACCACTTTGACTCTTATGAGAAACACCTGCGGACATCTGCACATTTCAGACTTTATTGCTGCATTTTTTAAATTGTGTGGTTCAACAAGAGCAAATTTGACCATAGAGAAATGTAATCGTAAAAACCTGATCAATCAAAAGGAGACTCATTTAATCAACTTTCACACTTGCTCAGGTGTTAAAACTGATTTCTCCTCCTCGACAACTGACATTTCTGTGACTTGACAGTGTCTTTGTTTTCACTCACGGCTGTCAGCCTAATCCAATTGCAGCCCTCGCTTTATCTGAATGGATAAGATAAGGGAGAAATCTGTCCACTGGCTTGTTGTTGAGCCTCCCCTGTGTTCTCTGCTGGTAAGTCATTGCATCACACAGAGTTTGAATATCCGCTAACACACATAACTGCAGTGATCATTGGGTGATGTTACCCAGCCCATTCTTCAAACATTTGTCTAAATACAAGTCGAGCGCTGGCACTTTTCTCTTTGTTTGGCGTGTGTGGCACAGCCATGGTGGAATGGCAGGAGTCGGTGTGCCCCGAGATGACTGCTGATAGTGGCTCCCCTCGGAGGTGCATGTTGTCAGATGTTTCCCTACCCACCCAAAGCTTGTGAGCAAATGTTTGAAGCACTCTTTGAATGGCATGTACAACCCCCGTGGGCAAGTCATATACAGTCTGACATTTTGCTGTGGAGACAGTAAATGGCAGAGTAAAACAGGGACAGACAAACAAAAAAGGAGTCTCTAGCTGCTCAGCGTTTGTTTGTTACAAGTCAGGACTTAGTCTCTGCAGACACCCCTGAGTGAGAGGTGTCAGTGGCATAACACATTTATCATAGCTGTCGTTTTGGTCTCACCACAGATGTGAAAGCAGGAAGGAATCCTGCAGTTACCACGGGCTGGCTCGTGCTTATTGCCTATCTGGGAGTTGTGTAATTTCACAAAATCACAATTTTGTAATCATTTCTAAATCACTGCAGTCATCCACGTGGATGTCTGTGCAACAACAGTCTCTCCATGGGATAAGTCAAAGTGGCACATGGCCCTCACTGTGGAATGATCCGAAACAGCTGAGCAGGAGTGGGTGGTGGTGTTTTGAGCAGCGTTGCAGGCGTAACCAGAAATATCTGCCGCGTCCCTCCCAAACCTGAGTGTGCACGTTAGCAAATGCAGCATTCCAAATAGAAAACACATGGAGGGAGAATCCTTCTCATCATATGCACACTGACTAACAATCATAACCACCTGTTTTCCTGAGAGATAAAAGGGACCCCTGTTGATGAGTTGGCTGAAGTCAGAGGCGAAAGGGGGAGTTGTGAAGAAAGCTCAGCAGTGTTGCTAGTTGAAGGCGTTCAGAAAGCAAGCTGGGTGTGACGATACATCTCCTGAGACAGAAATCCATTTTAACTTGACACAGAGAAGGATTCAGCACCCGCTTTTATCATTTTTCACTCGCAGGAACTCACGGCAGATGCTGAGGTTGAAAGGCAAACACTAACATGCTCACGTTCCAGAAATGGCAACGGCATGTGCATGCTTCAAATGTCAATAAGACTACCAAGTGCAAGAGTCATAAACTAGAACCAGCATCCAGGCAGTACACACTGGCCAGAAAATCCATATGAAAATATTATAATGTCCAGAAAAGGAATGCTTCCTGTAAGGTTGTGTCAATAAACTTTATCAGACTTGTAATCAGAGGTTCGGGCAAGAGAGTGATTCATGAGAAAAAGGAGTTAATTGTCATCCTGTTTAGTGTAATGAGCTTTTGGAAATAACGGCTCCTCACCAATAGTAGGCTAAAGTGGTTGTTTGTTTTGACAAGACATTATTATTCAGTGTTTAGACTACTCTAGATCAACAGGATAATCTCCAAGATACCTCTGTGGTGGCTGCCTGAGCTTAGGGCGGCGCAAGAGTGGCTTCCCGTTTGATGATCTTTATCTGTGGTCACATGGTCCCTGGAGGGAGGAAGCGCCACAGCGTTTTTTTTCTGCTCATGTGTTCACTGGATACTGATGGAGTACATCAATAGGTCAAAAGAGACCGCCATCGATCAAACATCGGGATGCTGTCAGCTTAGCGAAATAATTAGGGGTTTCATTAATGACATGGCAGGGGCAATGAACTACATGTGGCTGAGCCGCTGTCGGTCAGAGAGGAAAAAGCTGGAGGCTGTTCTCCCACTGAGAGTCATAACCAGATAATCGCTCTGGATTCATCTTTTGTTTACCAGGCTGTAACAAAGGGGCAATTACCGTCTAAA